AAACACTAACAATACAAAAGAAAACTGAGGAAAAAAATGGAGATTCACAAAAGATATTTAAGCATTACTATTTAAAAAATACAAAATGAACAAATACAAATCACAGGTTTCACCCCATTAGACTGAAAAGAAAGGGATAAGTAGATGCTTTAACACTACTGTTGATTGTGAAGAGAGAGTGAAATCTTTCTGAATCAATTAGATATCAACAATCTCCAAAAGTATTATATCATCAAGCTAAGAATTCTGTTCCTTTAATTTAAAGAAAATAATTGAAGTTGCAAAAACTTTGTAATCCAAAATAGTCCTTCTAGAATAATTTATAACATAAAAAGGAAAATGAGCTAAGTACTCAGTGTTAGTACTTAGCTAAAAATATTCCAGCTTAGCCCTGCAATGGACTATTTGCAGACCCTTAAAAGTAAAAAGGAGGCCCTCCCTGGTAGTGCAGCAGGGTAAAGCACAGCACTGAGAAGCGAAAGCCACTTCAGCATGTGTTTGATCCCCGCCCCAGGGGTGACCCACATGGCGCAGCAGACCTCTCCTGACACACCCTTGCTCCCCTCAGCACTGTACTTCGTCAGTTGGCCTGTTTTGCTCCCTGCTCTGTCTCTGGTGAATCCTCTCACTGCTCCTGCACCTCTGGCCTGTTCCCCAGCTCTGTATGCATAAATAATTTTTTTAAAGGAAAAAGGAGACATGATATTAAGTATGAAAGAGTGAAACAAAATGGCTTTCATAGTAAAATGCCAATAAAATGACTTGTATGTGTATTTGTGTTTGTTTATATGAATTAGTTACATCGGTAGATAAACACGCAAAAGACGGAAAGGATAAAAGGAAAAAAATCAAATTTTTAGCAATGATTATTTACTTTCTTAGAAGCTGTCTGTATGTGAAAACATCCCACATACACAGGCTCTTTTATAATAATACAGCAAAACTGAGGAGAAATGCAGATATGACAAGCAGAGAGGCCACGCCAGAGAATTTTAGAAAAACACAAGATTTACTTTTAAACTTCACATGGAGGCTGGTAGAATTACCCCCCTGGTAGTACAGATTGAAAACAATAGATTTAAATTGTTGTGGATACTTTTGGGGTGGAGGCTGCCACATTGCTCACCTGTAGGATTTAATACATTCTAGGAGCCTCTACTGTGCAGAAACCAATGAACCATTATTCTGACTCAGACAAGGGAGACTTCATGGTTCCCTTCTGCATCGATACAGATATATGTCATCTTATGTGTCAAAAAAATAATACTTTCAGTCACTTTTGAAAAAGAACACATTAGAGGGGCTCGCAGGCACCCTAGACATTCTTCCAGGAAGAGGATATACCACGTGGCCTCTCCCTCACTTGCACCCTGCTCACGTAGTGAGCAGTTCTACAGACTGTTCCTACTCACTCTATTAGAGCAGAGTTGTCAACTCTTGAGCGTCATGCTCAGAAATGAGTGTCATTTCAAACTCCAGAATGGGTCACTTTGGGCTACATTTCCTGATTTGGAAAAGGTTTTCCATTCCCTGGTTGTATGAGTCAACAGAAAGTCCACACTGTGTTAATTCAGCCCTGACTTTAACAATTACTAAGATTCCTGGAACACTTACACAGATGGGTGTTCAGCTGCTTACTTAACTAATAGAACACTGAGCTTAATGTAGACAGAAGGTAGAGTGCTGTAAAACATACAATTACAGGAATTTCCTTAGTCTACAAACCCAAATGTCTGAAATAGCAAAGCAGTTTGAATGGGCCAGGGCTGTCTTCACTATGTTGTGATACAGAAACAAGTAACATCAAAAGTCCAGTAACTTATAAGAAAGGGTCCTGTCTTGCTCATATGATATACCTGGGGTCAGCTCCAGCTCTGGTCTAGTTCTTCTCTGGATTTCAGGCTAAAGCAGCAGCTCTTTTTAGAGTGTGTCCTTCTCACTGCAGGGGGACAGGGGGACAATGGCAGAGTCACCTGATGGTTCTTAACTTTCTGCCTAGACCCTTTGCATAGCACTTTGGCTAACGCAAGTCCAGTGAGCAAGGCTGACAGAAACAGGACGTAGGAGTATAATTAGTCTACAGGAAGGGCAGGAAGTAACTGAGAACAATACAGCAACCTTCTGCATCAAGTATGCAGAGCCAGTGCCCAACTTGTAATGGGTCAAATTAGACTGGTTCGACTCATGGACTTGACGATGGACTTGATACATTCAATAGAAACCACAGACCGATACTCTAGGGATGCTGAGAAGAAACTGCAGCTCCCATTCAACATTTTCAAGTTAGAATATTTTCAACTTATGATGGGTTTATCAGGATGTAACCCCATCATAGGCTGAGGAAGATCTGTACATCAAAATACATATCTCCACAAATGATGGCTTCACTAGCAAAGATGGTTTCATATGCTGTGGACTGTTGAGTCATTTGGCTGGGACAAAAAGAAGCAGAGAAACTTCCTCCACTCAGTCAGAGGGGAAGTTAGAGAGGGCAGATACAGACATGGGCAGGTTCTGGAATGAGGATCTATAAACATTTGTATTATATAATTAAGCTAAATATAAACACAGGTTCAGAATACTATAACATGAAATTGAATACAAGTTTCCAAATCACCTCCAGCCATCCACTGAGTCTATCCATGCAGTCTGCCAGCTAACTCTCATTCCAGGATCTGTGGATTTTATCTCCTCTCTAATGTCTTCCATTACATAGCTCCTTTCTTTATTTGGGAGCGGGGGAGGGGGGCTATGCTTATTTTCTGCCCTTAATGAAGTGCCAATACAAAGTTTTGTTTTCCTTTCTTTCTTTTTTTTTTAGAACTCCTCTTCCTATAATACATACACATTGCAAATAATTGGCTTCCAGCTTTACTTTTTAAGCCAGAGAGGTTTTTTTTTTTTTTGTCTGCTTACTCTTTCAGTTATTTCTCCAATAGAAGCAATTGCTAAATTTGTATTCTCTAATCCTGGATTTCTATGCTTATGATAAAGCAAGGCACATCTTACAATCAGTTGGTATAAAAATAAACCTCGTGCTTGAAATCTGAGCTAAAATATATTCCCCACTGGGCAACAATACATAATGCGTAGCATTTCCTACATACATTTATGCAAATGCTTTATATCCTCTCATCTGTCCTCTCAAATCGAGTGATGTTCTTTTTGAACCATCTTCCTTCCAGTGTCATGGAGGTGACACCATGTGCTTCATGATAATAAAATGACACATTCCAATTTTGTCTCTGTCTAAGCACATTTCTGTAGATTGCCAGCTTTCCCCCACCTAACACACATTTGCAAGGGATCTGCCTCTACTTAAATTCTTTATCTTGAATACAAAATACCTCAATTATCTTTCCTTTTGGATAGCCAGGAGAAACCAAGAAGTGATGAAGCCTGACTTTCTAGTGCTACAAGAGTTGATCTATTGATAATATAGTATGTGAAGATGCACAAAAATATTGGTTTCACTCACCACTTCCATGCCATCTGATGAATGTTATTTATTAAAGTAGTTCAAGATACTATTAGTCAAAATCCTATGTAGAAGGTCTGATGATCACATATTCAGAGTCCTAACACACACATCTCTATGACTATCAACTGATAGTAACAGTCATGTTTCATCACTTAGCAATTCACTTAGAAAATTTGCCAAGATAAGATGCTATAGTCACCAAAAGAAATTTAATATTCATCTCAGCATGTTTATTTTAAATCTTGAGGATACATGATCTTCCCAGAGGTCATTCTTGTTAATATGTTAGATCTGTGACGCTCACCTAAACCTATTCTTCAAATTCATATACAAAATAGGGCTTTAATCAGAAAGCTCCTCTCACTCGTCACCCTTATCTACCCACTCAGAAAGGCAGCTTGAGAACAGAGTGGAGGATAACCATCTCTGAAATGAAGTACCATCTGATGTGTATGCCCATATCTAGAATTTGGACAGTTTCCAATACCCATATAAATTTCACTCTTCACCTAGTCCTACATTTCTGGTTTGAACTAATAACTTCGATATGAAGTTGAATTCTGCATCTATCCACAATTCAATATTTAGATTGAATATCCTGTTTATACAATTTGATCAATGTATCACCTTTCTGGCTTGGAGCTTTTCCTCCAAATTTGATCTGCCTATTTAAATTCTAAATCTTGCTTTTACTCTCCATTTGACTTGAGATCTTAGATTTATCTTATCAGTTTTATAACCAGAGCTATGTCCACTGACTTATTTGACTTAAGTCTTTTTTTCCTAAGTCCCGTGACTTCTTCTAGCCTAGACCCACTCACCCTGAATGACTCAGAATAAAGGAAGCCTTCCCCAATGACTAGCACTGAAAAACATAACACGCTTCCCATGTATAGATCTAAGTGTGATATATGTGATATATTTCTGGGTACATCGATTTGTGACATGTATTCACTTGCTAAATAATAAATAATTTGGAAACCATGATCCAGTTTTTACATTTTTTTTTCCATCTCAATTGTAATCTCCGCGGGTTTCCCATCACCAAGTCACCCATGTGCCATCACCATAATCCCGTGCACTTCCCTCCCCTCCCCCACCCCCCGTTTTTGAACCCATTCCCCACTCCACCCCCACAAAATGTCTCTGGTATATGGTTGTTCATTATTCTTGTTATTTTCTCACCTGGTCCATTATACTCCTGCTATGAGTGAAACCATCCAATATTTTTCTTTCTCTTTCTGGCTTATTTCACTAAGCATGATCTTTGCCAGCTCCATCCAAGTTGCTGCAAAAGACATGTGTTTCTCTTTTTTGGTTGCTGAGTAATATTCCATTGTATATATGTACCACATCTTTTAAATTCAGTCATCTACTTTTGGGCATTTGGGCTGCTTCCATGTTTTTCCAATTGTCAATAAGGCAGCAAAAAACAACCATGATCCAGTTTTAGCTTGTATTAAATATTGTTCATTTGGTTAACCCATAAAAATGAACTAACTTTCTCCATTTCTTCTAGATGGTCCAATAGTCTATGCAGCATACTTGAAAATAGAGCACAGTGATGAAAATATTAAATTCTGGATGGCATGTGAAACCTATAAGAAAATTGCCTCACGGTGGAGCAGAATTGCCAGAGCAAAGAAGCTTTATAAGATTTACATCCAGCCACAGTCTCCCAGAGAGGTATAGTGGACAGTGATGAAAATGAGAGCATCCGTAAAGGCATTACTATCTCTCCAGCACAGATTTTTTCAGGCACTTTGAATCCAGTGTCACCAACAATGCTATAAAGCCAGTATTGCTAATCTTACTTTACAGATTAAAAAATCAACCTGATAATATGACAAGGTAACTAACTTCATTGGTAGCACATTGCTAAAGTTAGAATTCAGATTTTAACAGCCTGGCCCCAAAACATTTCTTCACAGAGTATCTTAATTCCCAGGAAAGTTTTTCTAAAAAAGAAGCCCTTACAAGGTGAACTGATCTTGCTAGAAGAAGCATGATCTACTATAACTAGGGTGTGACAGCCCAGCACTGTTGGGCAAAGTCTGTGCCACCAGCAAATATAGCAAACACTACATTGGTATCACTACCCGTCACTTACAACCACAAGAAAATAGCCATGAATGGAACAGACACCACTGAGATACCTCCTGGTGGAGGGAGAATGAGGGGTGACAATTCTTTTAATGGGATACAAACAGAAGACTGTCCATGAAGTTCGCCCACTTAGGAGTTTCCTATGTCATTGACTTGTTCCTTAAAACTCTTGTCTGGAAAATGCTTGGTTTATTGAAATAACCACTTCCCTCCTTCATGTCTCCACTCCACTTTCTTCCCCTTTCAAAGTATATTCAGTTAAATCAACACTGATGACTAGTAAAGGAAGATAAGCTATACACTAGCACCAGCTTCACTCTTCCATAAACAAGACTCACATCTCATAAACTTCCTCATTTGTAGACTTTGCTAACAAGCCATTTATGTTCTCCCTAATAAGCAACTATTTCTCTGGTCTTGTACCTCATGGTTTTTGCTTCCCCCTCCCCCCAATTGGGGATGTGGAAGTGGATGTTTACTTTTTAAAAAGAGTTTAAATAAGTATTTTGAGATACTTATGAAATGCCAAGTAAATTCCACATTTCCATTCTGTGTCTATCTGAAATTATGCCTACTTATGTTCAACACGTAATTTTTCTTTTCAGATTAACATTGACAGCTCAACTCGAGAAAATATCATCAGGAATATTGAAGAACCCACTCCAACATGTTTTGAAGAGGCTCAAAAAATAGTGTATGTGCACATGGAAAGGGATTCCTACCCCAGGTTTCTGAAGTCAGAAATGTACCAGAAACTTTTGAAGACTATTCAGTCCAACAATTCCTGTTCATCACAGCAAAGTTAAATGGAAGATGATATATTGAAAGTACTGCCTTTGTTCGCTTAATCAAAAAAAATCACAAATGGAATAATTAATACAAAGACAAAATCAAACAATAAATTGATTCCTAGTTCCCAAAGAGAAATAGATTCTCAAAAAAGATGGACTCTAGAATATGAAAAACATAGTCTATAGCATTCTTATGTAGTTCAGTCAACATCTGAAGAACAGGAAATTCTCTCTTCATACACCAATATTATAAATTTTTACTACAGTTACAAAAGTTAATTAACAGCTTTTTTTATTAATGATATGTTATTGTGATAATGCACAGATCTTTCTTTAAAAATGGTAGTTAGTTATATGACTTGTGTGTCTAGGGTTCATAATCACCTTAATTAGTAGACAGACTTGGTACAGTACAATCAATTATACCATGAACAATATTAAAAAGACAAGTTCTTGAGAGCTATTTTATATATTAAATTTTCCTACTATTACATTCATAACTGAACCCATATATTGCATATATCTTCTACGTATGAAAATGTCCTGATAATTCCAATCTATTAAAAATGTGTTACTTTCTTCATTTATTTTTATATTTATAATGCTATAGGGTAGAAAATTTTGGGTTTTTTTGTTTTTGTTTTTTTTTTTTTGCCCCTCACAATGTGAATTTACCTGGATTCTGAACATCAATACATCAAATATAAACCAAAGACTTTTGAATATATATTTTCCAAGAAGCACAATAAAGTCATTTTTCTGGTACAAAACAATTAGCTATGGGAAAAGTTTGTCCAAGATTTTTAGTTTGGGGACCTCCTGGTGGCAGAAGGGGTTAAACCACAGTGCTATGAAGATATCCACAGCCACTGCAGCTCTAGTTAGCTCCCTGGCCAGGGATCTGACCCATATGGCGCAGCAGACCTCTCCTGTCTCCCTGCTGCAGTGTATTTCAGTCAGTCTGCCTGTTCTGCTCCCTAATATATCACTCACTTCTTAGATCACTGGCCTATACTCCAGTATTTGTATGCATAAATAAATAAACCTTTAAAAAATATATATATTTTAGTTTTACTATGAAAACTATTTCTGAACTATCTCAAATTTGACTGAAATGGTACCACTTATTCAAAAGCCAGTAAACGGCTGTTTTATAACAGGAAAGTAGACATTTATTAGAATTCTTCTCATTAAGCAAAGGATTATTTTAAAGCAGGATTTGGAGGCTCATTTATGGGAAAAAGAATGAGTTGTGCAAGAATATATTTTCTTTAAAAAGCCCAGGATTAATTAATGCAGTATCTAGTTTGTTGTAGAAATTATTAGCACAGTAGTCCAATTTATCTAATGAAGTTTATTTTCTCTTAAAACTACCATTAAAAATATAGGTTGAAGTCTGACATATGAGATCTTGATGACGATCCCTAGTTAGAAGAAAATAACTTATTTAGCTAGCTAAAATAAGTTAGAAGAAAAATGTTTCCACATGTTTCAAATAATTTGGACATCATACTCCATCAGTGAGAAACTATATTTCTAGCACTCAACTTGCCCATAAGTGCAGTGTTTGAGCAAATTTTAAAAAACTCCAGCCCTTATCACTCAAATTGTATATCAGCCAGATTTCTAGGGTTGGTTTGGGTTTGGTTTCATCCAACTTTGTTTTTCCTATGTACCTCATAAGTGACACCACCCAGTAAGTTTTTCCCCTTCTGACTTACTTTACCTCTCCAATTCCACCCATGTCAACACAAATAGCAAGAGTTTATCATTTTTTATAACTGAGTAGTATTCCAATGTGTGTATATATATCACATTAGTACATCTGATATTTGCTACTTTGAGGTTAATAAGCTAAAAACCATATTGTGAGAGTTTTTTCTATATTTAATACATTTTCAAACTCTGGAGATATGCAAATAGTCTTCATAAAAATAGTCTTAACTCCTCCAAAGGAAGAGAGTGGCAAAGACTATCTTGTATAGTTCACATTCAAGTATCTTGGCAGAGATAAACACTTTCCTATTTATAATTTATCAGCCACACCATCATTTCATCAACCACAAACAGCTTTTACCAATTTTGGAAGAATTCCTACAAGTAAGAGATACATAAAGATTTCTTCAAGTACACAATGGATGTGATTTGAAGAAAATTGTAAGACCCACTGCCCAAAGATATCTTTTCCAGATCTAGGACCTTAAATTCGCATCCTTGGTCACAAAAGAAGAAAACTGACATCTCAATTTAAGTTGAGGAGCTAAACACTGCTGCTGACACTTCCTGTTGCCTAGCAGAAACTCAACTTGGGGAAACAAGATGTAGACATTTGGAGTGGCTAGAAAAAATTAGCTGATAGAATGAGAAGTGTCAGCCGTACTCCTAAAACCTATGCAGTGGTATAAATCGATGTTGCCTCAAAACCATTCTCAGGGATGTGGAGACTTGATTAAAATACATAATAATGGTCAAGCCTGTCCTGTCTGCCGACTGCTGATGAGTCCCAGCATCTGCATCTGCCTCTATCCAGCAGAACGTGGAACGTGGAGAAAGAGGTAATGTTTCCAGTGAGTCTTGAAAAATAATTAGATCTCGTAGAGGAAAGGGAAGGCAATGTAGGTTGGAACTAGGACTAAAGGGAAAGCTGTATCAAATTAGCAAGGTTTAAAAAGAGACTCTGGAATCAAACATATCTGAGTTCAAATCCTGGCTCTTTGTATATCTAAGTGCATAAAATCATTGGTAATTGTGCTCAAAAAATTCAACCATATTAACAGTTGCCATAAAAGTCAAAATGAGAGACAATGCTAGTCTGAGCAGGAGACATGAGCGGGAAAAGGGAGGCACTGCTGAGGGAAAAGCTGTGATCAGATACAAAGAATGAGGGGGAGGTCACAGCTAATCTAAAATTTCGCATCTGAGCACCAGGGCAAGTACTAATGCCATGGCTGATGCCACTAATTGAGAAGAGCAGCTCAGAGAGATGAGCAGCCTTGGCAGACCAGTCAAGCTTGAGGAGACTGTATCCCTTCATGAAACTCCAGAGGGCGCCAGAGAGCACAAATGTAAAGCTGAGAACTGTAAACACGGCCTGGAAGAGATTTTATAAGGAAAACTTCTTAAGAGAGTAGATACAGAAAGGACCCAAGCAAAATTTAGGGATGTCTCAGGGAATAACATTAATTATTGTTAAATTTTCTACGGAAGCTTACCAAAAGATTTATAGTAATGACAATGCTCAATTATGGAATAGATAACGTACTGTGTGCTTGGATATATTATTCTTTTATTCAACAAATAGTTATTGAGCATCTGTTACCGCCAGCACAGTTCTCAGAGACAGAACTGTGTCTACCCCAAGGGGAGCTTAGATTGCTTACACAATAATAAAGTAGTAATCGAAGAAATAAAAACCCGTCAGATTATGATAGAGGGTAGTAGGAACATGTGAGGAGACCCTGGGAAGGGAAGTTGGGGAAACTGTAGAGTTCATGTAATATGTAAAAAGTATGTGTTTACATTTAAAATGCTATTATCGGCCCTCCCTGGTGGCTCAGCGGGTTAAAGCACAGCACTAAGAAGCCGGAGGTGACCACGTGGCGCCGCAGACCTCTCCTGACCTGCCCGCTCCCCTCAGCAATGTACTTCCTCGATCTGCGTGTTCTGCTCCCCACTCTGTCTCTGGTGAAGCCTCTCGCCGCCCCTGAGCCTCTGGCCTGTACCCCAGTTCTGTATGCACACATAAGTAAATCTTTAAAAATAAATAAATAAATAAAATAAAATGCTATTACCTCCACTCACCATTTTAATATCAAAGGTCGTTTTTACTGTTATCTCTGGTTACTATTGCTAATAAATTCATAAAAGATGGTTTCAAGCATCATTCCTGCTTCTGACTTTTCTGGAAAGGACTACCAGGTAATTTATGTACTGATGCCAAATTCTAATGGTACATTGAAGCACCCTCTCTGAAATTAGCAAATATGTTGCAGAAGCCAGGAATTTAAACAGGCATATCAGATACTCCACTCTACCTGCCTGCAAGAGGCTGGAGGTCACAATGCAACCACCATCTTGTCATGGGTGAAAAACAAACAAAAAAGATCCAGGGTCAGGCCCATGGTCACTACATTTTCTTTTATATATATATATATATATATATATATATACATTTTCTACATCATTCTTCATTTTGTACATATTTTCAACTCAGTTGTAATCCCTGTGGACTTCCCACCACCACTGCACCCATGTGCAATCACCATAGTCCCGTGTATTCTTCCCAACCGTTTTGATCCTATTCCCCTCTCCACCCCTGAAGAATGTCTCTGGTTTGTAGTTGTTTGTTGATTTTCATTTTTACTGTATTACAATTGCTTTTTTTTCTCCTGATCCCTTATACTCGTGCTACAAGTGAAACCATACAGTATTTTCCTTTTCTTTCTCGCTTATTTCACTAAGCATGATGCCTTCCAGTGCCATCCATGTTGAACTGGCTACATTTTCAACTTGGGATCCTGGAGGAACAGGCATGGGCAAATAGCAGGAACTGTCATGGGGACAAAGAAAGAAAGTGCTGGAAGAATCTAGAATGAATGGCCAATTGCTTAAAGAAAGTAAGGCTTAGGTATTTATGTACAAAAAAAATATGCTTATTAAAAGAATTAGATCAGTGGCATTTTCTAATTTTAGTAGTTAATGGTAGAATGCCTTAGGCAAAAAAAATTCATTTTTTAAAAATCAGTAAAGCCTTCATAGTTCATGAAAAATATCAACATAGCTGATTTTTTAATATAATTTTTTTAAAGATTTATTTGTTCATACAGAACTTGGGTACAGGCCAGAGGCTCAGGGACGACGAGAGGCTTCACCAGAGACAGAGTGGGGAGCAGAACAGGCAGATCGACGAAGTACACTGCTGAGGGGAGCAGCGGGCGGGTCAGGAGAGGTCTGCCACACCATGTGGTCACCTCCGGGGCAGGCGGGAATTGAACTCATTCGGAAGTGGCTTTAGT